TCTCTCGGGGCTGGACCTCTTCCCGTGCGTCACCCGTGTTCTCTTCCAGGGCTGGAGCATTTCCTGTACGGCCTCTCGGATGAGGTGAAGCAGGCGCACAGGGAGCAGCTCTTTGCGGTCCACCAAGAGGGTCTCATCAATGTGAGCAACAAGTGAGTACCACCAGGGGCTCCAGTGTTGGAGACCTGCTCTGCCCCCCGCAGGCCCCCGAGGTGGACGACAGCCCTGACTCACCCTGCCCGCCTGCCTTGCAGGTACCTGGGCCTCGGGAAGAGCACACACGGCTTGGCTCTGCTTGGACCAGAGAACGCGAAGATCGCTAAGGACCCCTCGTGGATCATAAGATAACGAGGGATTCTGCCTGTCCTCGGGGTTCGGCGGAACCCACAGGCGTGTAGGCTCCGAAAAGTTAAGACTGGGCTAAATGGAATTTGGAAGGTCAAAAAAGTTGCTGTTACTTTTTTCCAGAAATCGTGATCATACATCAGTTTTAAAATTTTGTCAAAGGTAAGACCAGAACTCTTCTATCTTAAAGAAGAAGGAAACGGAGTGATCATGAAGAAATTAATTGAAATAATTACACATTAAATGCCAGAGATGCACAAATTGTAATTTTAAGAGTTTTGAATGATATAAATGCTTATTTTAACTTATCTTAGAATGTTTATTTAAAAAATTTAAAAATAAAAGGCAACTCTGACCTGTGCTTGGTCATCATTTCCCATGAACTTTGCTGAAGTCGTTCTCAGGACCTGTACTGAACGGGAGCCAGTGAAGGGAATAATCGCACAGAGGCGTCCACGTTGGCCTGAATTTGCACAGTGCGGCCGCCCCGAGGGGCGGGGAGGAGTCGTCGTGCCAGGGCAGCCTGAGGGAGTGGGCTGAGAGAACGCGCTGGGCTTGGGCTCGATAGTGTTGACTTTGTCAGCTTCTCCCACTTGGTCTGTACTGAAGGGTCCGTCTCGTCTGTGCCTCGCTTGCCACTTTCTAGACAAAGAACTGCTCGGTGCTGGCCCTGCTGTCCCATGTGCCCCTCCGTTCCTGAAGGGCGCGTGCTTCACTGACCCACCTTCTCTCCCCGCACTGCGGCTTGCAGTCTGGTGCCTTCCTCGTCTCAGACCCGGAGGGTTCTAACACAGATCCCCACGGGGACCGCAACTTGCCTGGTGTGGAGGACTTGGTGGATTCACTACGCAGTGAGGACTGAAGCCAAGTGTGCAAGCTCACCTGTTCTCAGGGTCCACGTTTGTGGTTTGTGTGTTTAATTCCGCATGTGCTGTCAGTCCAGAAGCCCGGGGGCTGGAGTTGGTCCCCTCGCCTGGTGTCCCAGACCAGGGCCTTCTCCACACACTCGCGTCACTCGTCTCCTGTACCACAGCTTTGCCTGTTCCCTCCTTTATGACTTTGTACCTATGTGTGGCCGGGTTCACTGATCCCCATAAAAATACCTTGCCAATAGCTGCCCACAAAACTGCCAAGGAAACCTTTGATGGCTGCCCACAGATGCTGAGGTTTCAGACTCCTCCTCAAAGAAATAAAAGAAACTCAGTACCATGGTGGAGGTTTTAGCCGAATGTTTAATTCCACCGGGTACACACGTCTTGAAGCAGGACACACAGTACGAGGTACAGCCGACAGCTCATGCCGGAGACGGAGGACCCGGTGGGGAGGAAGGGTACAGGCGGAGGGGCCCTGTGGTTGGGTACTGATGTCAACAGTACTCGGTCAACAATACTCACATAAAGTGCTGATAAATAACTTAAATGTTACAAAAACAGGTATCCGAAGCGTTGCTAGCCAGGCGGTGCAGGCCCGGCGGCGTCTAGATGGCGGCGTGCTCCTCCTGGCCGCGCTGGTGCACGTTCTCCAGCAGGCCCGAGTCGGAGACCTCGAAGCTGGCCTTGTACTTGGCGAGGATCTTCATGAGAGGCCGCAGCTTCAGCCACCACTGCTCCTTGGGGATCCTGTGCCTGCGGACAGGGGAAGCAGCCCTGAGCACCGCACCAGGCACCAGCAGGGGCAGCCTTGACACAGGGCCTTTGTGGACTCGGCTGAGTAAAGGCTGGATGGTAAAGCAGTTTTCATAGGTCAAATGAAACCAATCTATATTTCTAAAAATTCTGCCCTATTTCTAAAAGTCTGGTGTTTTCTAACTTGGTTTCCTCGAAATACTTCAACGAGTGACTTATGATAATCAGTTATTTACAGTAACTGACAGCTGTGTCCCTCTGTGGGTCAAGACCCCTATGGTCATTCTCACGGCACTAAGGTTCATACTTGCAATGTTTCATTTACTTACTCGAAGTCCGTTTCCTTCTTCAGCTCTGCCACAGGTTGGAAAAGAAGGTTTCTTTTGCTTATTCCCAGCACACAGATGGAATCATCGGTTAGAAATCTTCTTCCTATACAAGACAGAAAAGTGATCTAAGAACGAATAATCCATCATGTTGACCGGGCAGATAAAACGGCCAACAGAGGAAGAAAAGGTGAGGGAGGAGAGAGGTTTGCTGGCCTAGGGAGCAGAACCCTGTGGGAGGATGGAGAATTCAGACGCCTCAGCCTCCCTGGGCGGAAACTGAGGACGCCCAAGACCCCCGGGAATCGTGACGGGGAGAGCAGAGAACATTGGAGAAGCGGTGCCCTCCAGCCCCAGGGGACCACCCTGTGACCAGCACCTTCCCTGCGTGCAGTCAGCTTTCTCTTGGGGTGTCGCTCAGGCACCCGTGAGTCCCCTGCAGGAGTAGGGAGGAGAGAGACGGAGAGGAGTGAAGGCCGGGATCGTGGTGGGGGCCTCCCTTACTGCACACGCTCACTGAGGGGGCTGCTGACCTGCGCTTCCCGGGGACACCCCCACAGGGAGGAAGGATCCTTGGTAAGAAGCTTACAGTTGGTGCTGAATAAATATTTTACTAATACTGGAATAGGAAAATTGGCTTAAACCACAGACAGGCTGCAGTTAAATATTAATAAGAAACTCATGCTCGTGAATGCACATAAGGAGAGGCTGGAAGTTAGATGAGCATCATTAAATGAACTAGGAAAAGAAGAAAAACAGTAGGAAGAAATATAAAAGCAGAAATTAATGTAGAAAACAAACTTAGAACCAAAACTAAAATCAGTTCTTTGAAGACTAAAATTAGGTTGAAACTATTTACATCACTGTTTTTGTAAGTCAAACATAGGAAATAAAACATAAACACACACAGATCTGATGTGACTGATAAGAAAACTGAGGGGCTGAAATAAAGATACCAGCAGAGATAGGCCAGCTCTGGAGTGAATGGGGGACGAGAAACGCTGCAGGCATTAAAAAGACTATTTTGAAATTTTTCGTGCCAAATTTTTGATAATTTAGATGAGTTGAAAATTTCCTAGAAAATATAACTTAGAAAACTGATTCAAGAAACAAACACGAGGGGCTGGCCCCGTGGCTTGGCAGTTAGGTGCGCACGCTCCGCTGCTGGCGGCCGGGGTTCGGATCCCGGGCGTGCACCGACGCACCGCTTCTCCGGCCATGCTGAGGCCCCGTCCCACATACAGCAACTAGAAGGATGTGCAGCTGTGACATACAACTACCTACTGGGGCTTTGGGGGGAAAAAAATTAAAATAAACCTTAAAAAGAAAAAAAAGAAACTTGAGCAGTTCTACAAACATAAAAGGAATTCAGCAGTCAGCTCTCCCTACAAAGGAGACGGGAGGCTCCGATGGAGGCGTCACGGGCGAGTTTTATCAAATATCTCAGCTCAAAATTAAACTTCCATCGTACACATTCTTTCCGAGGGGAGCCCCCCAGACCTATTAGAAAGCCAGAACAAGCCTGACCCACACCTAAGGGGCAAGACGAGTGGGAAATGGCCGAGGCAAAAAGCGGGCACAGTGAGTCCAAGAACACACACGGCCAGGGGTGGGGGGTGCCCCAGGAGGGCACGTGGGCTCAACACTGGGAGTCAGTTAAGGGAAACGTCAGGGACCAGCTAATTGATGAAGCAGTGTGTAACATCCTCCCACGACTGAGGCAGTCCCTAACGAACAAAGTGTCAGGTCTCAGTCTCTATCAAAGACCAACAGCAAACATAACACGTTAAGTTGCAGAAGGACACACTTGCGTTACACGTTAGTAAGAACTCTCAGTCCTGAGCCCTGAAAGCATGCCCTATTCCCAGTTAGGGGAGACTGAGACAGGAGTCCTGCCGTCACTGCCTCGGTTAGGGCTTCTCTGGAGTAACACACAAACACCCACAAATTACCAAGGAAAATAAAGAGGCCGTATACAGATGTGACATGCATGTGGATGTGAAAAACCAAACAAAATGAATCTACAGATAATGACTAGAATAAGAGTGCCTGTAGAAAGTTGCTGACTGCAAAATCAGTGTATAAAAATGGTGTTTCTATACACCAGCAATGAGAAAAAAATTTTAATACCATTTAGAAAAACATTTTTAAAACATCAAGTCAGGAATAACCTTACCTAGAAGATATACATCATCTTGATGTAAAACAGTGCTTTAATAAGATAATGAAAGGTCTAAATATATGGAGAGAGATACGATGTTCATGACTTAGAAATTCAGTATTTTAAAAATATCAATTCTTCCTCCAAATGATTGATTAAACATAATTCCCCCCAAAAATCCAACAGACTTTTTGGTGGACCTTGACAATAATTCTCCTATTTCCGTGACAGCACACCAGGCCAACAACAGCCCAAACTGGAAGAAGGCCCAGGTGCAAGGACTTGCCCTGCCAGACGCCAGGAATTGTTTATAGAACTGGAACGTTGGCAAAGATCGATAAGTGAATGCCAAAAATGAACCAAATAACCCAGAAATAGTCCCATAAGTTTATAGATACCTGGTCTGTGATGGGGGTTATACTGCAGAGTGGAGAAAAGAATGGATTTTTCAATAAATGGCACCCAAATAATTGATTAGCCACACGGAAGAAAATGGAATAGACCTTAAACTTCCTATCAAGTCAAGTGGATTAAAGAACTAAATGTGTAAAAGCAGAATGTTTTCATAACACAAAAAGCTCAAACCATAAAGGAAAAAGTAAACTGGCTACATTAAAATGAAGAGCACTTCATTAGAAGACACATATGCCACAAATGAGAGACAGATATCTGCAACATGTGACTGGCAGGATATAAAATAAACATAAACATAAAATATAAAAAATTCCTATAAAATAATATAACCAAAATATTTTTAAATCAATAAAATGATATAAACAAAAAAATTACACAATCAGAAGGATAAACAACCAACCAATAGAAAGATGAGCAAAATACTTGCAGAGTTCACAGAAGAAACGAGAGCCTCAAGTAAGCGTGAAGGACCTGGCCTTGCCCTCACCACTTGGAAGTTTAGCCTGTTAAAGCCTCGATGAGACGGCCTCACACCCAGCAAACAGGAGTATTTCAAAAGTGATGATCAAATGTCGCCCAGACGGGAGTATGGGATCCGCATGCACTACAGGGGAGCATGTGGTTGGGAGACCAGTTGGATGGACCCATGCGTTCATGACCCAGCGTCCCACTCCCAGCTCAGGGCACTGGAGTATCGTGCGTGTCAGCAAGACCCCGGGACACTCAAGTGCCAGGTCATCTGGATGGTTAGGGTTGGCGGGCTCCAACGATGGGATGTTGTACCGCGGTGGCTCTCAAAAACTAATGCCCCGGGGCCAGCCCCATGGCGTAGTGGTTAAGTGTGCACGCTCTGCTGCTGGTGGCCCGGGTTCGGATCCTGAGCGCGCACCAAGGCACCGCTTGTCAGGCCATGCTGAGGCCGCGTTCCATATAAAGTAGAGGAAGATGGGCACGGATGTTAGCCCAGGGCCGGTCTTCCTCAGCAAAAAGAGGAGGATTGGCATGGATGTTAGCTTAGGGCTGATCTTCCTTACACACACACACACACACACAAATAAATAAATAAATATTAAAAAAAAACAAAAACACTAACGCCTTGTCAAAGAAGCAGGCCCCAGGGAGACACACTCTGTGTACTTCCATTCATATAAACTACAAAAGAAGCTCACAGAGCCTTTTAAGGTTTACCCAGGTGGTAAGACTCTGAAGGAAGCAAGGGAATGAGTATCACAAAATTCTGAGGTTCCTTCTGGTGGGGAGGGAGTAAAATGGGATACTCGAAGGACACACCAGATTTTGAAGGTGGACATAGTCTAGATCCCACCCGATCCCTTGTTGCTCTCTCTAAAAAGAGAAGTCGTGAGTGAATCAATGAGTAAGTCTTAAGTATCTTAAGTAAAAGCCAGTCCAGAGTGTTCCAAGCAGCAAAGAAAGAAAACAAGGAAAAAATCACATTGCAAGGTCTTGCTAATGGAGCCCAGTATGTTTAGAGCCATGTCCTGGCTATTAGAAGAAGAAAGTCACTAATCACTGGAATGCCTCCCGTCGCTGATGAGCAGGAATAAAGCCTTGCATTACAGTAATTCTATTTACACCTAATTATGACCTTGAGAGTCATAAACAGCAACCACAGAGTCTGATGAGAGTAAGACCGCTCTGTCGCATGCGGCTCAAGGCTGAGTTTCAGGAAAGGAGAAGCAAGCGCCCACTTTCTCCGGGAGCCGCAGCCCCGTCCCAGCACCGGGCCGCCCCACCTGTCACTCAGTACCTTTGCCATGAGACTCCTTCAGTTTCGTACTGATCCACTGCATGGCTCGGGCAGAAATCTTGGTTCCAAAGTTTCTATCAAACGGAGAAGGCGCTCCACCCTGTTGGCGGTTAGAGTGAGAGGAGACGTTAGTTATCATAATACCTTCCTGGCTGTTTATTTTTTTAAATGAAATAGAAATTAAAATTACTATTATTTAACAAAATTCACATCATATTTTTAAGAGACTCAAATTTGTAAATATGGGTTTTATTTATATTCCTGTGCGGGATCAACCTGTTAGGCAAGCACAGGACCTCCCCCGTAGGACAAGGATGCTCATCAACAGGACCGGTCGACTACCAACTTCATTGTTTTCGAATCGTCTATCAGGATTTCTTAACTTTATTTTGGGGTGGGGGGGGCGCATTTTCCTTTAAGAATCTGATCAACTCTGTGGACTCGCTGTCACAAAATACACACACGCCTACCCTTTCATCATATAATTTCAGGGGGTTCACAGACTCTTTGCAATGGAGTAATGGGCCTAGGTAGTTCCCAAAGACACCCGGAGTGGGAGGCGTGGTGAGAAGAGGACAGTCGTGCCATCAGGATCTGGGGCCCAGATTCCACGCCCACCACCAGCTCTGCCACCTGCAGCACGCTCACAGATCACGAAGAGGGTGAACCCCAAGGTTCTGTCCAAATCATTCTGATTTCATGACAATCTCACAGTATCATTTGTCTGATATTTCAAATTAAGTGGTTATTAAGGCCCAATACTGAATGAAGCATTTAATTTGAATAAGTTTTTCCAATTAACTGCTGTCACTATTTATATGAACGTTGATACTTGTCCTTATAATGCCCATCTACCCAAATATCACCAACAACAGAAAGAATCCCTGAAGCTGTGACATTTGGTATGACTTTTAAATGGAACCATTGCATAGTGCAGATGTTGTTTTTAATCACTTTGGAATTTACTTATGAATACATTTTTTTCCCAAAATGGCTAAGTGAAGACGTCCGCCTAAAGAAGAGGTCCTGCATAAGGGCTCCCTCTTCCGTTTGGCGGGACCCTGGGTGCGCGGGCCACGGCGGGGGCGGGCGGGGGCTCACCTGTTGCATGTGGCCCAGCACGTTCTTCCTGCAGTCGAACACCCCTTTGCCCTCCTCGGAGTAGAGCTGGTAGATGAAGTCAGTGGTGTAGTTCTCGTTGCAGCTCTCGTTCCTGCAGCAAACAGAGGGCCGGGGCTCAGGGCTTCGGGGGAAGCCTCTGCCCAAATGGCAGCAGAGGGACGCGGGCGCCCGGCCTGGCCCGCTCCCGCCCCCGATGCCGCACACGTTCTTTTATAAAGGTCAGTGGCGTAATTAAGGAAATACTTGGAGATATCTTTAAAAAAAAAAGGCTAAAAAGCAAAAATAGATTTTCAAAAATTACCCTTTAAGCATTTCAATGCATACAAGTGTTTAGCACGGGCACAATTCCTCTACTTTATTATAACTTCAGTGTTCGGAGGGAGAACCGTGGCAGAGAAACGATGGCTCATTGGGGTTAGGTCATGAGATAGGTTCTTTTTGAGAAGCCAGGTCTCACACGAACAAGATGGGGGACTTCCCACTACCTGAGCACCAGGCCCCTCTGGATGCTGGTCTTCATCTTCTCTGTCAGGTGCTCCACATTGGCCTAGAAGAAAGTGTTCTGTTAGTCAGTCAGCCAGTAAACTTCTAGTAAGCACCTACTGTGTGCCGGGTACTGTATGATCTACGTGCAGAATGGAGCGGCGAGGGCAGCGGCTCCCAGGGTTTATATGTCAGCAGGAGAGGACAGCAGACACATGATACATCAGGCAGTGACAATGTGACAGTGAGGAACGGAACTCAGTCACGCCATACACACACAGGAGGGTGCAGCCGCATTCCTGGGCGTATCGGTCAGTCCGTGGGACTCGAAGCTTCCGTGAGGAACACTTTCCAAAACAGTTATATTCCATCTGCATTATTTATTCGTATTCTGTGTATTTTAGTTGTGTTTGACTTGATAACGCCTGTCCTCCTGAATGGGCTTTGAGGACCCCCGACATCCGATGTGCGCCTGGTGGCCGGGGAGAAAGGACCCCGGCTTCCTGCCCTGACCCCATGCCCCTGGCTCTCCTGACACGCCAGCCTCCTGCCTCCCCCCACGAAGGGGCTCAGCAAGGAGCTAACACTGCGGTCACCCCACTAGCCCTCTATGGAAAAGCTGGGGCCCGAGAAACCCTAGTCAATTTAGAAAAAGAGGCATCTGCGACCTCAAGACTTAAAAGCACATGCAGGGACACAGAGTGACCCTAACGCCAGCTGTGGACTTGGTGCTAATGACATGTCCCTGTGGGGCCATCGGTTCTAACAAACGTCCCATCTGTGGGATGCTGAGACTGGGGGAGGCTATGCATGCAAAGGGGCGGAGCAGTAGGGGATCTCTCTGCCAAGAATCTAAAACTGCTCCAAAAAAAATAAAATCTGTTAATAAAAAAAAATTTTTTTTCAAGGAAGCACGCTACAGGAAAGAGCAGGCGGCGAGTTGGTTCTTTAGTTGGCAACGCCCACGCCACAGCGTGAGTGAAGCCCGCTTTGCTGTGTCCCTCCCCCGCCCCAGGCCTAGCCACCTCGGGGGGCGCCGCCATCCCCTCATTAATCCAGCATTTACAACAGACAAAGGCTGCTTCTCCAGGGCCGGCTCCGTGCTCCAGGAGGGATGGGCGTGGGCTCCAACCCTGCAAACCTTCCCATACTCAGCCCCGCAGGACACAGGGGTCTGGGCCCCTCGGGACACTTCACGGCCTGAGACCGTGTATTCGTCCCCATCAGCTGTCCGAAGTCCCAGGTCCTGTTAGACACGGGATGACCTTGTTAAATGGTTTACGACCTGCCTACGAAAAATGGTGACCTCGTAGGAGGCAAAATCATGCAACAGACAGAACGTGGGCAAGCTCGGGTGAAGAGAGTGACAGGTGCCCTGAGATGTATGTGTTCACGCCCGTCACTCGTGGACGGCCCTGGCGCTGAGGTCAGTGCACCCGCACATGTCCCTGGAGTCAGTGAGACGGGCCCTGGAGGTGCCTACACGTGGTGGGCCGGCAGCGCCCTCGCCACCCCCAAACCACCTCTGTGTGCCCCGGTGGCAGCCCTGCACGGGCGCTGAGCGACAGGCACCCCGGGCCCCACGGCCCCCACGCACCTGCAGGTCTCTGATGTCAAAGGGCTCCTCAAAGATGTAGGCGGCGTCCGCTCCGGCGGCGAGCCCCCCCATGTTGGCCAGGTAGCCGCAGTAGCCCCCCATGGTCTCGATGATGAACACGCGGCGCTTGGTCCCGCTGGCCGACTGTTTGATGCGGTCGCACGTCTGGGCACAGAGAAGGACGCGGGTCACTCCAGCGCAGGCCTGGCCCAGGCTGGGAGGGGTGCTGGTCCTGAGCAGGCGGGCATAGGCTTCCGGCCCAGACACCGGCCCCGCTGACCCGGGTGGTGTGGTCACAGGCCCTGAGCTGGTACACCTACCCATGGAGGGCGGGCCTGTCACCCCCTCGGCCGGTGCCCTGGGAGGGGCAGAGGGGGCCCCCAGGACCCGCTCACTCCACCTGCACCGTAGCCTCGAAGGATGGAGGCCTGGCAGCTGTCATGGGCCTCGTTAGGGGGAAATTCTGTTGTTTTCTTCTAAAAAGCTCCCCGTGGGGTTTGTCATCCTCAACCTGTCCCCAAATGTCACCTCACGTCAGGGCCCCTGCTGGGGGTCAGACGGTGGCTCCTGGACAAAGGCCCCAGAAGTCGTCCAGACACAGACAGCAGGTCTCCCAGGGAAACCTCTGTCCTCGGCCCTCCTTGGGACACAAGCTCGGGGCAAAAACAACAGAAACCCACCCGCCGCCTTCCCCCCCGAGGCTCCGTCCAGGCCGCCGTCCTCTCTCTTGGACCCTGCCCGCTGCTAACCGAGCTCCGTCCATGTAACACTCTGATCCGGTTCTCGCCTCACTCAGCCCTCCAGTAACACCGTCTCCTTCCAGTTCACATCAAAGCCTCACATGGCCCCCCTACTTGCCAGCCCCGGCTCCCGCTCCCCCTCCAGTCACTGGCCTGTCCCCGGGATGTGCAGTCCCCCAGTCCTCCTCGAGGCACCCCCACACACTGCTCATGGGCTAGACAGCAGCCCCCCGAGACACCCAGGTCCTAATCCCTGGAACCTCTGGATGTTTCCCTATAAGGTGATTAAATCCAGGATCTTGAGAGAGGGAGATGATCCTGGGTTACCCAGTGGACCCTAAATGTAATCGGGAGGGGAAGGGACAGGGCTGCGCATGAGGGCCGGATGCCCAGGTCCCCGGGAGCTGCAGGCACGTGGGATCCTTTTCCACCTAAGGCAGAGAACTACTGTCACTTGAATTGAGAGAGAGAATGGCATGGTAGAGAATGGCATCATCACTTAATGGCAAAAGAACGTTGCCGGCAAAGAAGCTCGCCTGCAAGGCTGATCTGGACAGCCCATCTCTGAGCACCGACCCAGGTGATGAAGAAGATGAAGAAGATGAAGGACCCCGAGTGAACCTGATAACGGAGCCGAGGCCCCAGTCGTCTGGAGGCCACTGGGTGTAACAACAATGGTAGCTGGTGGGCACAACCAGCCTCTGCCTGGGTCTTAAATACGCCGTTCCTAAATTCTCTCTCTTCATCACCCAGCCTGTGTGTGAAGGCCCGAATCCGTGTCTTCTGAACACAGCAAGTCATTGCAGCCACGTCTCATTCGATTACTAAAGACAGAACTGACAACTGAGAGGCCACAGCACCAGGTGCACCCCTGTCCCCAGCTAGGGGCACATGAGGGGCCTCTCTGACTTTGGGGTGAGAGGAAGAAATGGAGGAGGCTGATGCCCCTGCCTGGCTGGACCAGCCCCCACCAAGCCATGTCCACTGTCCCAGTGTCCCCAGCAGCAGACAGATGACTCTCCAAGAATAATCTCTGGGACTCATCCGCCAGAGGAAACACTTAGGTTACAGTTCCAATACTGATAACATTTTGCCACACTGGTGTTTTAAAAATGTAAATTGAATGTGAAAAGATAAGGTGGAGCTTAGAACAGTGTTAAGATAGAAAAAACCCACGGACTTGGGTGTGAGGACACAGTCTTGCCCATCAGCGAGCTAGGAGGTCAGCCTCCCATGACTGAGATATCCCCAAGAGACTGGGTATCTGCCGAACTTGGGTGGCCAGACCAGGCAGGGGCTGGGCGAGGGCCAGAGGGGTCCCATCCGCAAAGCGCAGACTGCTGGCGAAGCCAGGGTAACATGCCAGGTGCGGGGTTGAGAGGGTGAAGCGAGCGTGAGCATCCAAGAGATGCTGGCTGTGCCCCACGGAGGAGTGAAGGGAGATGCTGGGCCCTCGCAGCTCTCAGTGGCCGGTGGCTACTTCATGGGTCTGTCTATGACCATCTTACATGCAGAGAAACAGAACTCCAAGGAGGCTAAATGTGGGGCCCGTGGGAGCCTCTAACCTGGGAATGAGCCTCTTGGAGGCCATCACCCTACAAGGAAGCAGAAGGACAAGCCCACCTCTGGACAACAAATTCAGTGAGAACGTGAGCGGGATGAGTCAGAGGTACCCGCAGTTTAAGAGTGAAAGGCTATGATGCAACAGAGAATCAGGACGCAGGCCTGGCGAAAGCCCTCCCCTCCCCTCCCCGCATCACAGTCAGCTCAGAAGAGAAAGACCAGACTGACACCACCATCTTCCCGTCCTCCCAGGGTCTGGGCCAAGCTGAGCGGAGGGAACTTGCCAACAGTGAGGGCTCTGCACTGCAGACTCCCTCCCGGAGAGCGCATTTCAGCTCCTGTGGCGCCTCCCGCTTATAGAGAAGCACATTCCCAAGGCCTGGGCGGGCCCCGCGCTCCCCTGGAACTGTCACACGCACCCAGCACCTAGCCCTGTCTGCACACCCTCCTGATGTGTCGTCTCCTCTAACAGACCACACGTCTGGCTATGCACACACGTGGCCATGCACACACATGACTATGCACACACGTGGCTACGCACACACGTGGCTATGCACTCACATGACTATGCACGCCCGTGGCTTTGTACACATCTGGCAGCAGGCCTCATCACATACGACCCCTCAGCGTGCCTGGGAAATACCCCAGGCTTCTTGTACAGGTGGTACAGAAATAGAGATGGTGATGGTACCCAGGGCGCTGATGGAACATCTCACTTTGCGAGGATAAAGATGGCTCTCCCTCAGATGGAGAAGCTAGGAAAACTATCCTGTTGTGGGAAGTGTGATATAAACTCCTGCTAACAGGAAAAAAAGAGTGGTAACAGATGGACTCATTCATTGTGGAAGACTGGATGGTTTCCCTTTCAGGTTCTACTTGAGGGGAAAGAGAAAGACCCCAGGCTTTCAGCCTGACTGGGGTCCTCTCTGGGCAGAAGAAACAAACGGTGAAAGAAACCACCCAGCGAGGGGAGTGGACTCTTACCTCCACAATCGTGTTCAGGCCAGTGTCAGAACCCAGGCTCAGCTCTGTGCCCGGGACATTGTTGCTAATGGTGGCAGGCAGGACGCAAATAGGGATGCAAAACTCCTGGTGTCTGCTGCGCGCCTCCGCCATGGTGAGCGCGCCCTCGAAAGCCTGAAGCAGCAGTGCGGGGGTCAGCGGGTGCCGCCCAGGGAGGCGATAGGGGGCCCGACAGGCGGGCAGCTTGGCGAGCTCCGTCTGTGCGGGTCAGTGGGTGAGGAAGCTCCAGGTTAGCACGGAGTCGGGGCGGGGAGACTCGCCAGTGCAGGGGCACGGGCTCTGGGTGCGGGCCTCCCCGGGGCTCCCGCCCAGCATGGGTGGGACGCAAGCAGGCAGGCAGCAAAGCAGGGCCGCATCGGGTTAGTGTGGACGCACAGTGGTCCTTTCCTGGCATCTCGGAGGTGAGGGAAGCCAATCGGGTTGGGAAAGTTTAAGGGCAGGCCCCTCAGCTAACTTTCTGCAGTAAGCGGGGCCTTGCCCTGCCCGCTAGGACCCCATCAAATGGCCCACGTCAGACATGGCAGACGTGCAGCCGGGGACTCGGGGCGCCTCTCTGCTCTCCGTCAGGAGGAACAGCCCCACCAGGCCCTCCGCAATGCTCACACAGGCAGCACGGGGAGCCGGGCCCCACACGTGCTCCAGAATCCCCAGGTGAGATTGTTTGGCTCTGATGTCAAGAAAGGAACTGTTGTTAAGCCGAGGGCAGAGGTTTGGTTCGTCTGCCTCAGCGGGTTAATCAGAACAGTTCATTAGTGGACACAGGTCCACCCATCCACCATCCCTGGGTCCACGAATCTCTAGACACAACCAGGCTTCTGGTGAGCGTTTGTGCAAATGGACCCATGTCTGGTCTTTATTCATCCCCCTACGTGGCCACGGTGCATCCTGCTGCAGGAATGCTCACGACTCAAGGCAGGGGGGACCCAGGCCTCTCTGAAGGGTGTGCTCTCCATTACCCCTGATCTAGGGCACCTGTGGCCCAAGATGTGTGGATGGGGGACCCACGGTGGTTAGTGCAGGGGGTGGCCAGGAGGAAGGTGAGGCCGTCACTCGGATGCCTCCTGGCCCCTCTGCCATCGCCCTCCTCCACCCGGCTGGCCCCTCTCAGTCTCCGCATGGACCCTGCCTCTGGGGCCTCAGATCACTTTGGGATCTTAAATCACTGAGATGTGTTTCGAGAGATGCGTCTGCGAGCTGAGCGTGAGGACAACAACAAGCATCCAGAGAACACGGCAGCTGATCACACGGGATGTCTCAGGGCTTCTCAGCCTTGGCACTGCTGATCTGGGTGGACAGCTCCCTGGTGGGGGGCCGTCCTGCCACCGTGGGGGGTCAGCAGTGTTGGACCTCCACTCACCAGAGGCAGGGCACCCCCTGCCCAGTTCTGATGACCAAGAGTGTCCCCAGACAGTGCAGATGTCCCCTGGGGCAACATCACCACCAGGTGTGAACCAGCCAACTCTGAACAGAGGGAACTGGCTGGTGCTGAGACGCCCGCGGGCTGGACCCCGGATGCTCTTCCTATAACGAGGGCCTCTGGACGTGAGACCATGGCCCGCAGGTGACCGGAGCCACTGAATGAGGTGGATGAACGGATGCTACACTGGCTCTGGTCCTCGACCCTGAGGGCTCCCTGGACCCCTGGAGCAGACCAGGAGAGACGCAGAGCACCCAGGTCTCGTCGGCTCAGCCCCCCAGCACGTTGTCTGCATGCACCCCCTTTCCTTTATGTGGCCAGTCCAGCCAAGCTCCAGCCCAGATCCAAACCTCCTAAGAAAGATTCAGCTTTATTTCGGCTTTAACCAGCAGAAATCTGAAAGAAACCAATTTCAGCACGCCACATCCACGCTTGTGTCCCCACAGCTTCGGACACTCGGAGCAGGCCCAGGAGTGGCCACTGCAGCTCTCACTCAGGTCAACCTAACTGCCCAGCGCACCACCGGTCACTAACCAGAACCAGAACCACGGCACCAGACCGCCTGCCCACTGGCAGCCTCAGAGCGCTCCCGATGACTGCATAAGGGCAGGCGGGCCTGGCACCTTCACAGAGACCTGCCTGCTGTGTGACTGGTTAACCCGGCTTTGAGAAACCCAAAGGAATAAAAAACCCAATTTAAAAGATCATATGATAAATCTCAAAATCTCTCTAAGGGAAGCAGGATGGATAATTTGGAGTTTTCCCTATATGTTCTGGTTTTCAAATTTTCAACAACACATGTATTAAATCTTTACAATCTAGAAAAAGAAAATTCTTGGTAGCCGAGGAGCCTGGAATCATAAAGTGGGAGAATCTTATCTTCATGCCTGAAAGTGTGTAACAAACACCACGAGGAGGTAAGCAGCCACCTCAGCCAGGACCGCAAATGACAACACTCCAAGTCCCCCCAACCCCGCCCCAAGAGGGGTCCAATTAGGTAACAGTTAGGAAAAATGACCTCCCAGTTGCTTCTACTGAGCAGAAGCAGATTCAAAATCCAGCTATGGCAGGGAAAAGAGCAGTAAAAAGATGATGAAGTTCATTTTGCGACAGACCGCGACCTTTCAATTCACAGCTTGAAGGTCTATCAGGATGGATTAGTCCAACAGCAGCGAGAGCAGGGAGGACAGACCCCAGGAGGGCGCAAGCAGCGGCCCAGCAAGGTTAGTGAGCACACGAGGACGCCCCAGCGGGGACACAGGCGACACTGGGCAGAGCTTTTAGTAAAGAAACTCAGCAAGTTTAAGCAGCTCAGAAAAGCAAGAAACAAGTGCGAAGCGTCACTTACCATTTGAACTTTATTTTAAAAGCGTTTCTTTTATTTACCAGCACTAGAAACAGGTGTGATGCCACGGGCTACACAAAAAAGTCTTAAAACATTCATGAGATCTACGTCTCAAGGAAAAAAAAATTGAGAATTTACTGAAAAATTTTAGACACCGAATTTAAAAAAAAAAAAAAAGAAATGCATTCTGTGTGAGGTGCTCATCTTCAAACTCATACGTGATTTCCTGAGTGTGATTCATAAATATGATAATAAGGATGTATTTTTATGTTTTGTTACTGCCTTTGGGCAGAAAACCTAAAACAGCATCAATGCTGTTTTCAATGTAGTTAAATCCCCCATCTGCAAGGGGAGAATGATGCTATCGGCCGTGGCCACATACAACAAATGCTAATGGCGGATGCAGGTCGATGAATAAAATTGCAAAATATTTAGCTCAGGTTGTACCATCAAACATGAAAGCAAGGCCATTGGACCCAGGATTTATCATGGTAAGGTGTTCCAGGCTTCAAGTAAATTTGGCTCAGCCAAAAATGTAATAATTTTAACAATTATCCAAATCACAAAACACCGGGCCCTCGACTGCCTGAGCCACAGACTCGCACTGTCACCTAATGGGCCTGGGCAGTGATGCGGCGTCCTGGCCGAGGCACGGGAAAAGAGCCGAAAAAATCTCTGGGAGCCGGATCAGGGATTGGCAGTCTTGTTATATACTTTTCCGAAAACAAACCAACCAACCCTGGACCTCGCCCCGGTCTCCAGTGTGCTGGTAGATAAAAGCGGGTCAGGCGCCCTCCGGGTTAGCATCCGCCGCACCTGCTTTGCTGCCCACGCAGACTTACGTCGGTGATGGTGTTCAGGGCAGTGTCTGCACCGATGCTGAAATCAGAGCCCGGCACGTTGTTGGAGACCGTGGCGGGAACCATGACCATGGGGATACAGAACTCCTCGTGCTTCTCCCGGGCAGCTGACAGTTCCAACAGTCCCAGGTAGGCCTGTCAGACAAGTGTGTGCAGTTGTGGGGGGGTGGGGGGTAGAGGGGCGTCGGTGGGCCGCTAAAAAACCAACACGGAAACACATTAACGTCACAGACAGGGACAAGCAGTTCTTGAAGCACAAAGGACACCTCGGGACATTGTCAGGGAGAAGCAAGACTAACTCTTATCGGCAAGAATGATTGTCAGAAGTTCTTACATTTTCTTTAAGGTAAACTGAAAGATCGTCATGGGACTGATCTTGGTTGAACTGAAAAAATTAAGCTCTACAGTCTAATAAGTAATTAAAAAAATAATCTGGGGATCCAGCCCAGCAGTGTAGTGGTTAAGTTCGCATGCTCCACTTTGGCGGCCCAGGGTTCACAGGTTCAGATCTCGGGCATGGACCTTTGTACCACTCATCAAGCCATGCTGTGGCAGGTGTCCCACATAAAATAGAGGAAGATGGGCACAGATGTTAGCTCAGGGCTAATCTTCCTCACCAAAAAAAACATAAATAAAAAAAAAGATAATCTGGCCATATAACTACCTTCCTCTCTGAATAGCCACTGGGCTTCACATTCAAGAGAGAGAATCATTCCTGTAGACTCGAAATACATCTGAACCCTCTGAGCAGATGAATCCCAGGCAAGGAGTCAAGTTTTCGCTTCCTGATTAGGTCGCTCTATTGGCACCAAGTGTCACACCATGTCTCGCCACCTGGTACACTCTGCATTGTAACTGTCCAGTGGCAGGCGGGCCTGGGGCTCTAGGACTCCAGTTCATGAGGAGCGGTGGACGGCACTACGGGTGGTGGAAGCCAGCACAGGGTCCTCACTCAGACCCGCAGCACTAACGAACCACCAGGTGAAAAGAGATGACCACGTACCTCAAACCCGCCAATGATCAAGAGCGCGTTGATGCTGTGGGTGTGCATCTGCGTGGCGATCTCCGTCAAGTACTTCCCAGGGAGGGTACTAGAAGGAGTCCAGTCGGGACAGGAGGTCAGACAGACTTCACAGTGGACGACACCCTCCCCCAGCACACCTCCCCACCCTCCGTGGCCGAGCCGTGCAGCCCTGAAGAGATCTGCTCCCTTCTCTGCGGGGTTGGTGGTTGGCAGGGCTGGGGAACTACCCATGCAGAAGTGGCCAGGAATCAAATCTCAAGAAAGTGTCTTTGCAAAGGGAAGCAAGAAGAGACTTTTCAGCTGCCCAACAGCTTGACCTCAACGAATCCTGCTGGCTCATCAGAACACAGACGAACCAGGGTAGCTTCATATATTCACAATAATTGTTTGAATGGAAACTTCCAGCTTCACATCACGTACATATACCTTATCCATTCTAATCTCCTTTCAAGTCATCTCCAGCCATACTTGCCCTCCTCCCTGTTTTATTACTATTTCAAACGACACGGCCAGCAGGTGGAATCAGACAACTGGCCGTGCCCCATCCCAAGAGCCTGCCCAACACCCACCCTGATCTTTCTGTTCTGTTGACTGGAGGAAGTAAGGTGTTTATACTGTTGGTAGATTTACAAGAAGTTGTAGAGCGAAAACGTCCAGGCCTGGGTAGTCAGGGCACACAGGTGGACGCGATTCAAGTACCAGGCCCCTCCCAGCGTCCAGCATCGTCAGAATGCGCTGCCAACTCGCCCCTCCCATCCACCCCAGAGCAACTCCCGGCTCGGCTTATGGAGCAAGCTCTGCCTGGGTGTCCCGGAGAGTCGGGAGGCCCAGGAGGCACAGAGAGCCCCCCACTTCTGCACGGAGCTCTGCCGTCCAGAACACCAACAGCACGAGTGCTCGGGGGACCCGACAGCAGGCAGCTTTGGAGAACTAGCCGAGCTCTGGGAACCCCGCCAGCAGCTGGGCCGTACGGGCCCTGGCATCAAAGCAGAACGGAGAGGGGAACAGGTTCCTTGGGACAATAAGCTAACACTTACGTGGAATCCAACATTTATTAGACTCACACACAGAGTCCTCTCCTTCCGTGTTAAAATGTCACATACAGTAATGACTAATACTCGCACCCCTGAGATCAGAGATGAAAAGAACTCAGGCTAATATGAAATCACAGCACCTCTTAAATTATCCCATCCCAGCAAGGCCGGAAAACAGACGCTCACTGTAATTCAGAAACCTCTGTTTTGACGCTGGAATCACTCAGGTCATTTCTCTGCTGTGGGAATCTGGGCCTTCAGCCCTGGGGCCGCTCAGGTCTGTTGTCCCCACAGACACGAAGCCACTATCAACGCTCGAATTCTGGTTTAAGTAGGATGGTCCCTCCAGCTCAGTGACATCACTTGTCTTTGTCACCTCACGAGATAGAGGATTGTTGCCCAGTGTTTGGGTCTTCAAATCAACGGGAGTGAGGAATCACGGAGGAAATAGCTCCAGAGTTCTCCCCCTCGTCACTTTTCAAGGGCACATCTCATCCAGCCTGAAAACCTAACCCACGCCCCTCCTGGAGTGGGGCCGGGACGTGCACCAGCGCCAATTTCCCTCAGGACCCTTGACAGGAAATTAACAGCAGCAGCCTCTGCAGCTGCTATTCTGTTCTAGAATATGGCTTTCTCTTCTTGCTAAGAGTGGGTCGGAATCAAGAAGGGAAATTACCGTTTTGTCCCGAGAATGGAACCTCCTTGGCCTGTCCAACCTCCAACATCTCCCCAGCCGATTTCTTTGATCTAATGCGCAAACACAGAAGGAAAAAGACGGGAGAATCAGAAAGCTTTACGAATAGCCCAGATGTCCGCCCCTCAACAGGCTGTGTGTCTGCGAGGATCTGTGAAAGGTTAGGAAATGCTTTCCTCGCCAGGCCGAACGAGTCAAGCCCCAACCCGGATTCTAATTCATTAGGAGCAGCAACGGGCCTGAGGTCCTGCCTGGGGGAGACCTCTGCATCCTATTCCTCGTCACATGGATCAGTTAGATACTTTAGTTGCCCAAATTCTACCATTGGGACATAAAAGAATAATTAATATTATTAACAATTAATATTATAGCATTTTAATTGATATAAGATTAAAAGAACACTTCTTAAAAGTTGAAAAAAATCTAAAACCATGGATGAATGCCAGCTGGGAGTCTGCCCCCTCCCTGGGCACTCAGGGCCCTGGGCTGTCCCCCTCTCTACTCATGACAGCAAAGCCCTTTCTCTTCCCCCTTCTCTCTCGCCCTCGGGGCCCTCTGTCAGTCTTAAACACCATCTGTATGCTGAAGCCCCCTCAAAGGTGTGTGTTTGCCCAACCTCTTGAAGATCCGGAACACAATATCCATCTGCTTACAGGACACCTCCCCTTGACGCCCAGCAGACATCTCCCACTTAACACCCCCAATCTCAGCGCCTCTCACATTTCCTCATCTCCATCAACCGCAGCTCAGGCCAGAAACGGATGCACCTTGCTCCTTTCTTCACACCTGCGTCTATTCAGGAGCGAATTCTATTGGCCCTGCCTTCAAAATACATCCAGACCCTAGAAGACTTCTCACCAACTCCACTGCTGCCAGGTGGCCCGAGCCCCCCGCATCTCCTGTCTGGGTTATGGCAGGAGCCCCCCAACTAGTCTCCTGCTTCCCCATTCTGCTTCTTGTGAAAATCTGTCCCTTTGTGCCACGCCCCTGCTCCAAACCCTCCCCTTCTCAGAAGAAAAGCCAAACTCCACACCATCACCTACAGAGGGTCTGGCCCTCCACTCCTTTCCCTCATCCCTTCTTCCTCCTCTGCTGCAGCCACGCGAGCCCCTCCCCCCTGCGAACACCTCAGGGCCTTCGTACCTTCCCCTGGTCTGCCTGGAATGAACGTCCCATGTCCCCATGGGCCACTCGCTCAGCCCCTTCGACCTCTAGTCTGAGATGACCTTCCAACAGCGCTCGTCTTTAGGGTCTTAGCACAGACCCCCGATCCCACCTTTGTGTGTCTTTTTCATGCGGGACCCCGCCTAATACGCTATACAGTTTACTCGATCTATTTTCACCTACTGTCATCTCCCTCCCTGAGCTGCAGATTCTGTGGGGGCAGGAGGCTTTGTCTGCTTTCTTCACTAATTTAATTCCACAGCATAAGAACTCAGTACATGGTTGCCAAGCAATCGGGTGAATAAAAACCACAGACCAGGACACACTGGGCTGAGAATGGAGGATCTGCAGCCTCCCCACGGTGTCTACGATCCTGCACCGTGTGACCTCGGTCAAGTCGATTACCGTGTCTGTGCCCTAGCTGTCTCGTAAGGAAAATGGGGATAATACCTCAGATTTATTGTGAGATTTAAATGTTAACATACGTAAATCCCGGGGAGCAGTAAACGTACAGAGTGAGCACTCAGGAAGTGTTCATCTACCCATGAAGGTTTTATTTGGGCACGTGCCCTCCGTGTGCCACCCTACACACTCTCGGGGCCCCTGTTCCCCTTTCCACTTAATGCCAGAGAGTCCACTGGACCCCAGAGGCCCTTCCCACTGCCTTTTGAGAAACTGGAAACATGTCCCACCCCGAGCTTCACTGCAGGGCCTGGACCACACCTAGGATGGGACCCTAACCCAGAAGTCATCCTTAAAAATCGGTCGCTGTGCTCACCATTGACGGAGCCCTAGGTGTTGAGCCCTGGAAGGTATGACCCCCGTTTATCCACGACACGACCTTCCCTTCGCCGGCCGCCCCTCAAGGGACTCACCTGGCCTTTGGCGAAGCCCTCGAAGCCGTCGTAGACAGCGAACACCTTGTGGCCGTCGGCGATGCCCACCCGCACAGCCGAGCGCACGGCCGCGTTCATGCCGGCGGCAGGCGCGCCCACGTTGATGATGCCCACGTTACAGTTGCTCTGCAAGACGGGAGGACGCATGCCGCCCGTCACAGGGGGTCCCCGCTCACAGGCACTGCACACCTGGAAGCGGCCCGCCCTGCCAGGCCAGGCCGGGGACCTCACGGCCGAGAGATGGGGCCAGACACTCGGAGAGTGAGAGGCAGCATCGGTCCACGGCAGGAGGGAGGCCAGGAGGACAGGGTTGGCGGGGTGGACAGGGATGGCCTTTTGGGAGCTAACATCTGATCCAAACCCAAGCCGGCCAGGGCAGAAGGGCACCCACACCAGAGAAGGACCGAGGCATCACAGGTGGCGGGAAGAAGGAGAGAGGGGGGTGCCATGCCCTGCAGCATCGCCTACCTTTGGGATATGGGCGTCTGGTTTCTTGATGGCGAGCCGCTTGTAGGTGTTCAGGTTGCTCTCGAAGCTCCTAGAAAGAAGGGATGCTGTTGGACCAGAGTTAGCATGGCAGACAGAGCACAGGGTGGCGGGGGGCTCATCTGGGGAGAAGGGGCCACAGGGAGCAACGGTGCCAGACACAGACATTCTGCAGGCGCTTGCTGTCTCTGGGCTCTGGGGGGAAGGGGCCCCAGGATTACCCTGCATCCCACAAGGCCCTTGATGGGGACCCACAGCGCTGTGCGTTTCCAGTTAATGTACAGGACACAAGTGGGCTGAGGACCAAAGGCGTCTAGTACTCAAAACTAAACGCTCGCCTCATGTCACTGTCTACCCTAATCTCATTAAGTTCTGAACAACCCCACCCTGAAAAAAATTAAAGGAATAAACGTGTTCCCCCTAACTAGTCCTCTAGGCCTTCGGCCTGTAGAAACGGTGCCTCGAGTACTGTCTCAACTTCTGCCTTCTTGTATTGACACAGAACGAGCACAACCTCGAAGCACGTTCCCAGCAGCCGGCCTGAGGAGCACAGGCCCCCACCACAGAGAGTTGCCTCCAGAACAGTCACCTTCCTCGGAGCCGCACAGCATCCTTAAATCTCCCCTCATCCATCGCCTTTTGTACATCCTGGGTCTTTAAAGAAACGAGGAAAGGGAGAGAGAACACATCAAGACTCGGTGCATCGTGGATCTGGGTGTGCAGGGGTGGAACCAGCTCTGTCTTTCCATCCCGTTCCCTTCACATTCCCACCTCGCAGGCCGGCAGCCTGGGGTCAGAGAGTCCACACTGAGGCTGTGGCCGGCCCGTCACTGTCCGGCTAGAGGGAGAAGCCCAGGTCTGCCCAGCCCAGGCTGACACGGAAAAGGACGAGGTGGCACGGCTGGCATTGCCACAGGAAGCAGGCCCTGAAACCCGAGGGATTTCACCCCATGACAGCAAAGCCAGAAGTGAGGGGATCTCTCAGGAAGGGGTCTGGAAACTCCCAATCTGATTCTAGTGAGGAAAAAGCAAACAGAACAGCCCACTCCTGGGAGCTGGAGGACCCGAGCAGGGTCGGGGCAGGCCGAGGGGGCAGAGTTCGGGGCCCCGGGGGAAAGTGCTTGGGGACCAACACGCCCAGCTGGCTCCCAGCCTCTGCCCCTCACTTGAGGCCCTTGGGCAAGTTATTCATCTGTCTGAGCTTCAGTTTCCTCCTCTGTACAGTAAGAAAGACGCCCCTCCTTCTAATGTTGTCTGTGTGACACAGACACGCCAGACCCTCAGGACGATAACCACAGAGCAGATGCTCACACACACACACGTGCACACCACACACGTATACACACATAATCACACACACACCCAGACACACACACATGCACACCACACACAATCACATATACACATGCATACACACACACACAATCATATATGCACATGCACACACACAATCACATATACCCATGCACACACACAGTCACATATACACATGCACACACACAATCACATATACACGCGCACACAATCAAATATACACATGCACACACAATCACATATACACATGCACACACAATCACATATACACATGCACACAATCACATATACACACGCACACACATATGCACACCACATGCAAGCACACACACGCACACAATCACATATACATGTGCACACACACATGTGCATACACACACAGGCTTTATTCTCTCTCATAGGCTTTTGGAAATTATGTTTCGAAGGTTACTTTCACCACAAGCCCCTGGACTCAATTACTTAGTTACCTCTCTGTCTATGTTATAAAGTACAGATACTTCAGAGCCACTGGAAAGACCAAATAAAGTGATAGCCATGAATGGACTTTGAAAAACAGTTATAATGCAGCTCCACTGCCGCCTCACCTACTGGACAGTTAACCGGAAAATTATAACCCATTTCCCACCTCCGTCCGCACGCACTCCTGGGGCCTGAGGGAGGCGGGTGTGTGTCAGAATGTCACCGGAATTAGCCACCCCAGTGTCAGGTCGCAGATTTGAATGTCCTGGGGGACAGGAGGGCAGGAGCGGCTGCAGTTTGAGAGGTTCAATGATGTCCCTCCCCGCTGGGAAACCCCCCTCAGATTCTCACAGAACCACGTCCTTCGAGTCTACAGTGACTTGTCCACGGAAACATACGTGGGTCCTCCGAGCGCACTGCTTCCCCGTAGACTGGACTCACTGTTGGGGGCGGTTACAACTACGTGTCACAGAGTCAAGAAAGGGAAGCAGTCCAGGTGTCACAAGGCCTGCCGCGTCCCCACAGGGCAGTGGCTCGTGTCCTGGGAAAGGTCATCGACTCCCTGTCCGTTTGGTCAGCAACAGACGCAGGGATGGCGTAAACTCGGGGCTCACCATCTGCACGCACTCCATCAGGGGCAGGCGCACAGCCTGGTTCCCGCTCAGCGACACCACGCAGGCTGGGGTCTCCGGGGTGGCCTGGAGGAGGGCGACCACGGCCTCCACACCCATTCGGCTGGCCTGGAATGACATTCACAACGTCAAAGACGGCCCACCACCGGTCCAGGCAGCGCTCCAGCCCCGGTGCCCACGGGAGATGCTTCCAAGACAGAGGCCCCCACCCTGCCTTGTGCAGACGGCCCACCTGTGCTAAACTCGTCCATCTTCAACTTCCCTTCATCCTCCTGAACCCAGTCCCATTAGATGCTCGTAGTCCTGCCTGCTTACTGTTAGCCCACCCCAACAAAGAGTTTCGACTCCACCAAGAACTGGCCAGGTGGGGAGGGGAGAGCAGCCAAGATCGACAGCTGAGGATCAGGACTCAGGTCTCTGCTGTCCCCTGGCTCTGTTTCTAGAACCTTGCACGTAGATGCCACCTTTCCACCTTTTGGGATTTAATCCCCTGGAGTCCCCACGTTTGGTGGGGTCTCCCAGCGTCCGGGTGACTGGGGGACCTAGAAACCATTCTAGGCTAGCGAGTCTGCAAGTGACAACATGGCCGTAGCATCTCGGGGATGAGCATCCACAATGTAGGCAGACGCTTTTACCTGACAGCTCTACGAATGTGCGTCTTGGTAGCAAATTGGTCCCTCGCACTCCCAGACACGTTCCTCCCCCTGTGAAGACGTCTCACAGCTTCCATCCTCACTCACCAAAATCCTGTCGAAGGCTGACGGCGTCCCGCCTCTCTGCACGTGTCCAAGGATGGTCACTCGCGTGTCGTATCCCAGCTGAGTGACCACGAGCTGCCAGGAAACATCCCCATCAGAGCACAGACCCCGACACGGGCCCATAGACTCCGACAGGCACAGGGGCCGGGCACTGAGGGGAGATGCTTCCACTCTCTCCTCAGATCCACAAAGAAATAAATTCTAGTTTCTAGACTTCACTTCCTGGGGGAACGTTTATCGGTTAGCTGAAATTTATTTTTTTTAAAATAATGCTTTCAGGAGCTGGCCCGGTGGTTAAGTTCGTGCGCTCTGCTTCAGTGGCCTGGAGTTCACAGGTTCAGATCCTGGGCACAGACCTACACACTGCTTGTCAAACCACGCTGTGGCGGCGTGCCATATAAAGTAGAGGAAGATGGGCACAGATGTTAGCCCAGGGCCAGTCTTCCTCAGCAAAAAAGAGGATTGGCAACAGATGTTAGCTCAGGGCTAATCTTCCTCACCAAAAAAAAAAAAAAAAAAAGCTTTCCTTATCAAATAAAATCTGTCTCTCCTACCTTGCAAATGAACATAAGTGACATGATTTTTTACAAGACACTGTTTCTAGAGCTTGTATTTAAAACATTATCTGGCACCGGCCTGGTGGCGAAGCGGTTAAGTGCGCGCGCTCTGCTGCTGGTGGCTCGGGATTGGATCCCAGGCGTGCACTGACACACCGCTTGTCAGGCCATGCTGTGGCGGCGTCCCACATAAAGTGGAGGAAGACGGGCATGGATGTTAGCTCAGGGCCAGTCTTCCTCAGCAAAAAGAGGAGGATTGGCATGGATGTGAGCTCAGGGCTGACCTTCCTCACAAAAAAATAAATAAATACAAAATAAAATAAAATAAAGCACCATCTATACTTTACAAAGATGTAAATCTTTCCCCGAATCACCTTACGTTTGTGAAGCTGTGATCTGAAATGCAGGACACAGTAATCGAGGTGCCCCCGCTGTCCGGGACCCCCGTGAACACAGTGGGGTGGCTGGGACAGGTCACCTCTCTTGCTGGACCTCACTTACTCCTCTGCAGAATAATGGGGTTGAGTTACAGGAATGCCGTGGTCCCTTCTTATGCTAACATTCCCTGATTCGATCTCAACTTCAGTTAAGTGGGAAACAAAATCTTTGCTCTGAGATTATTGATTATGTCTCGTAAATATTGGCAGACCCCTCTCACGGCTGCCTATCAATGTCTTTACTATCCAGGTGCACAGCTGGCGCGGGAATCGATAAAAGGCAGGACAGAGCGAGAGCCAAGCTGACAATATCCTTTCCCTGACGGACGGCGTCAACCAGAGCCCGTCTGTCTGCTCTCCGGCCCTTCATCTGGAATGTGCCCGGTTACCCCTGGACTCGGGAACCTGGCCCCTCCGTCACGGGCCTGTGTGACGCGCCAGTGCCCATCTGGGCGAGCCCCTCCGCCCCTGTGGGCCCCTCCGCAGGACCAGCGGGAGCAGTGACTCAGGGCCAGTGACTCGGCTTTCTTTGTGGGGAGGAACATGCTCATGAGAAGGGACAGCAGGTGTCTTTCCTGCCGTGGAACCCGGGCTCCGCTGCCGGGGGGTTGATCCTCCTCCAGTCAGGGCAGCGGTGCCCAGGGCTGGAACTTTCTAACCCCACCCACCCGCAGGTCCCCGGGGCCTTTGGGAATACTGCCGATGGTTAACCCTGGAGGCAGTGCTCTGCGGAAGCCCAGAGTGTATGAGTCTCATGTCATTCAAGTTATGAGTCATTATGAAAATATTTTTAAATATTTAAAAAGAAGAACAAAAAATGCTTTCAAAATAATAATTCAATGTTCCAAACCTCAGACCTGCCCGCTGTGTTAAAATCTCCATTTCCAGGGGCCGGCCCGGTGGCCTAGTGGTTAAGTGCGTGCGCTCCGCTGCTGGCGGCCCGGGTTCAGATCCTGGGAGAGCACCGACGCACCAATTGTCAGGCCATGCTGAGGCGGGGGTCCCATATAAAGTGGAGGAAGATGGGCATGGATGTTAGCTCAGGGCCAGTCTTCCTCAGCAAAAAGAGGAGGATTGGCATGGATGTTAGCTCAGGGCTGATCTTCCTCATAAATAAATAAATAAATAAAAATAAATAAATAAATAAATAAATAAATAAAAAAAAATAAATAAAAAAAAATAAATAAATAAAAATCTCCGTTTCCAGGCAGGCGAGGGAGGAGGGGAGGATCGCACACACTTACCTCCTTGACTTGCTCCGAGGTAATAGGTTTATTTTGGGTATCGATTGCTCCTTCAGACACAATGATGATATTCAGTCTTTTTTTCCGGGCTCGGTTCTACAGAAATGAAAATCCTCAAGTGCTTAAAACATTCCTAACAACAACAACAACAGAATGCAGCAGTTTGCCCCAACTGAACTGGCTTCTTTCCAGGTAGAAATCGCCACCTGACTGGAAGGTAAAGGTGCTCTGGGTGAGGAGGTGGCGGAGGGTGCAGGGCGGGGAGGGGCCTGCGAGCTCGGTGATGCCACCTCAGAGGGCGGTCAGCCCCCAGGCAGCCCCAGGCTACTGCAAACCAGGCTTCCACTCTCCTTCAGAAGCCAGAGCTTCCTGCCCATCCCCTCGAGCCCCACCCAACCTAGGAATTCTCCACCACTGTGATAATACTGCCCCCAGGCCTGGGCAGGTGGCAGGTGGGGCACAGAAGAGAAATCCGGAGAGAAAGCAGAGCCCAGACGGGGTCGGGAAGCCGCCCCTGTGCAGGGATAGCCAGGCTGGCTCTGCTCATCCTCAGGGGCTCCCAGCAGTCGTCCAAGAGGCCCTAAATCATCCTCAGGCGGTTTGTTCTCTATAAAGGCCCAAGTTAAAGACCCTCCAGTAAAGGGTGTGAGCTGCGTGGGCAGGGCCTGAGCTGCTGCCACCCTGGGGAGGCCAGCGGATGTCATCCAAGGTGACCCGCGAGGCTCCCCACCAGGCATCACACCTATGTACACTGTCGTTGTTTTTGATGGATAGTAAATGTGCTACACTGTGAAGAACGTATTAATGGGAAATATTTTCTTTAAGGTGTAAAGATATGATTACAAGAACGATTATTTTAGCATCATCTGAAACAGCAAAACGGAAGTAATGACACGTCCATAAATATGGGCTTGGGGGCCGGCCCAGTGGCGCAACCGGTTAAGTGCACGCGCTGCACTGCGGCGGCCCAGGGTTCGCAGGTTCGGATCCCGGGCGCGCACCGATACACTGCTTGGCAAGCCATGCTGTGGCGGTGTCCCATATAAAGTGGAGGAAGATGGGCATGGATGTTAGCCCAGGGCCAGTCTTCCTCAGCAAAAAAAGAGGAGGATTGGCAGATGTTAGCACAGGGCTGATCTCTTCACTGATCTCTTTACAAAAAAAAAAAAAAAAAAAATTATGGGCTTGGCCAAATAGCCACGCTTCATCCATAAAATATTCCAAAGTGGTTAAAAAATAATGGAGCATCTACACACTCACATGGGAAGATAAGCCACCTTGTCTGTATAGCTCATTGAATGCCCCCTGGTTCCCCACCTGGACAGATTCATTCACTCGTCAAATCCTCACAAATCAGAGGAACAGTTATGACCCATGGTACAGCTGGGGAACTCAGGACACAGGAAGGTCAGGCCATTGGCGCAAAGTCGGCTGTGGGGGCAGAGCCGAGATCCAACCCTCGGACAGAGAGTCCTCAGCAACCTTATACTGCAGTACCTCTGGTGTGGGGATGCCCTGTGGCGTGCACCCTAGGCCAAGTTATCTGGCAAACATTTGGAAAAATTCTTGCAGTGCTATGTTAATGACCAATAAAAGTTAATTACAGAGCCAGCCCTGATGGACTGGTGGTTAAAGTTCGGCACACTCTGATTCAGCAGCCCGGGTTCGGTTCCCGGGCGCAGAACCACACCATTCATCTGTCAGTAGCCATGCTCTGGCAGAAGCTCACATAGAAGAACTAGAAGCACCTACAACTAGAATATACAACTATGTACTGGGGCTTTGGGGAGGGAAAAAAAAAAAGAAAGAGAGGAAGACTGGCAACAGATGTTACCTCAGGGTGAATCTTTCCCAGCAAGAAAAAAAAAAAAATCGGCAGTCTTCTTAAAAAAAAAAAAAAAAATTACAGATGCAATGATATCAAGTGTTTCCACAGAAGTGATTTTAAACCACCAGTCCCAACATGTGCTTATTGTTCTCCTAGCTGACAGTGCAGATTACAGAATCTGCAACCCAAGGAGGTTTGCAGGTAAGACCATCCAGTTACAGAAAGAATTGACAAACCTGAAATCAGTGTCTAAAACCCCAGTGTCGGCTTCAGCCCTCCCTCCTTACTGCTGACCTTCTGACCAGCCGAGCACCCCCCAACAGCAGGGGTGCGTTTCCTCATCTCTGAGGGCTGCTGTCAGGGCCTGGCCTATGTCTGCGTCATCCCGGGCCAGGCCAGGGGCTGTCAGGGAGAAGGAAGAACAGCTGGCCGGGACAGGCAAGGCCGCTTGGGGACTGTGACCTCTTAGGTCCTCTTAGGTTATCTCCCTTGCAAGGGTAATTAAACGGATGTCCTCAGCGCCACCCAGAGGGACCAATCTAAAAGGAGCACCACCTCGTCTCACACAGCCCTCCAGGGATCATCCCACACCAACTGGCTGGCGGAGAACGCCACCCACGTCCCAGGTCAGAACCAAGAAACAGTGAACTTATTTATTACTTGGATGGTGGAGTTCATATGTGGACAACCCCCATAATCACTGCTCCACAGCAGCTAAGAGCTCCAGCTTCCAAAGGTGCATGATCCCTCCCTGCAAAGGTACAGCTTTTTTTTGTGTGTGTGTGTGAGGAAGATCAGCCCTGAGCTAACATCCGTGGTAATCCTCCTTTTTGCTGAGGGAGACCGGCTCTGAGCTAACATCTGTTGCCGATCCTCCTCCTTTCTTTTCCCCAAAGCCCCAGTAGATAGCTGTATGTCACAGCTGCACATCCTTCTAGTTGCTGTATGTGGGACGCGGCCTCAGCACGGCCAGAGAAGCAGTGCGTCGGTGCGCGCCCAGGATCCAAACCCGGGCCGCCAGTGGCAGAATGCGAGCACTCAACCACTAAGCCACGGGGCCGGCCCAAAGGTTTAGCTTTAATCGACAGTTTCTTACCCAGGCCAGCAAAGCTCATTTGGTACATTGCTTGAACGCCTTTCTTCAAACCTGTTACCTCGAAGGGGATGGCAATGTCTTATTGCACGTTTGTCTTTGTTGCATGCAATGTTTACGTGTTTGCTGCATATGTCATTGTAATTAGTAAGTAGGCTATGTCATATGCGTACATCATGTACCTACAGAACAGTGACGAGATAGTTATAGAAATAAGAGGAGGGAAATTCACCCACACCGGGACTTCTGTCCTGAAAGATAACCGTGTTTTCAATGAGACCTCCCATGCCTTAGAGGGAAATTTGCTTTACACTAATAATCCACAGTGTGAAACACAAACGTGCTTTCACAAACTACAAACAGAGGAGAAGCCTGGTTCAAAGTAATTAGCAAAAGGTGACACCTGACAGCAAGCGCAGCAAGGGGGGTGGGGGGCGGACCACACGGCTGGAAGGACTGTCATCGCAGGTGTCACGCAGGGTCAAGGGGGATTCAGATGGAGTCAAACGTGGCTGCTCACGCTCTGCTACATGGAGATAGAACAGGAAACGGACCTTCTCCCCAGCTCTGACTTCTTTTAATAGCCACGGTCTCACGGTGCCTCCTCTACTTAAACTGTAACTGCTGCTTTGCTTGGAACACAAAAAAGGGTTGGGTGTTTCTCTACGGCGTTACTCTTTGCAACATCGGGAAGCCGACGCGCGCATGAATAGCCAATATATGCAGACCACATGCAACAAGCTCGAATTCACTTGCGAATCAGAAAGTTTTCACCCGTTCCACACTCTGTCCAAACTGAAAATCCCAAAGGCTGTCACCAGCCCTGGCCAGCGCAGTGCGCCCAGAACCGTTGGCAGGAAGGGAAAAGACTATGACTTACCTCTGAGAGTTTGACGCACATGTTTTCCTGCCAACCTTCCTCTGGCGGAGACTCCGGCAGGAACACCCAGTCCGCCCCACAGGCCAGGGCGCTCACTAGGGCCAGGTACCTATTTGGAAACAGCAAGGACTTTGTAAGGCTGCCACCAGGCACTCGGAGCCCAACGCCAGCCTCGGGCGGACAGAGGCTGGGGCTACCTCGGGACTGCTGGCTCCTCATGACCCTTCCGGGAGCACCTGCACCAAGGGGCCCAGGGCTTCAGGGAGACCGTGCCAGGGGTCCTTCCACCCCAGTCGCATCTACACGTACGTACCCGCAGTGTCTCCCCATGACCTCAAGAACGAACGTCCTCTGGTGGCTGGAAAAGAGAAAAGGAAACGTCCACTCACCACACTGGGCAGAGCGTGAATCGCAAAGAGGAAAGTGCTTCCCCAGCCCCATTAGACGGAACGGCTGCTTCCTGATACGGCTGGTACCAGAGCTTCCAAAGCAAGATCCATCTCCTACAGAAGCAAATGCTACTACAATAGCATTTCCAACTCCTGTGAGCAAAACGGCTTGGGCAGCGAGCACACTTTCCTGGGACATAATTTCCAACATTCGTTCGCTTGTGCCCAGACATACTTATACTGCCGGGACACTGTTCTACGTTCTTTGCAAGATAGCAGCTCTATGGGGCAGTTAGTCACTTGTCTCGTCAAGAACCGAGGATGGACGTATCCCACGGCAAACATGCAGTGCGATGTAAGAAAGTCAGCTCAGTCAGTCCCCGACTGCGGTCTTCCCCTGGAACGGGCATATCGAGCAGCCCTGGGAACTCGGGGGAGATGACGTGGTTTTCCCAGGCACTGGACTGAGACGGTCTCAAACTCCTCATTCATAAAACAGAGAGGTGTTCATTTACTCTTTCACACGCTTTTCTCGAAAAGCGCTCCAGAAACCCCAGGGTGCCGTGGACAGAGCTATTGGTAGTGATTCTGCCGCGAGTCCGAGTCACCGGGGATAACACGATTGCTCCATCGACACTGGTACACCTGCAGGGTGGCTGTGACAGCAAGGCGATGCTCCCCCACGCCTCCAGCGAGGGGGCGAAGCTCACACAGCTTTACCTTCTGCGATTCCCGAGGGAGACCTTCGGCCAGCACTTTAGAAAATGACGATGTTGCCTTCTCGTGTTGGCTAAATTCTCTCCAATGAACACATTTTTCTTTTATAATCAGGATGGGGGAAAGTGACTTTTTTTTTTTTTTTTTTAAGATTTTATTTTTCCCCCCAAAGCCCCAGTGGATAGTTGTATGTCGTAGCTGCACATCCTTCTAGTTGCTGTATGTGGGACTCGGCCACAGGATGAACGGAGAAGTGGTGCCTCGATGCGCACCCGGGATCCGAACCCGGGTCACCAGCATCGCAGTGCGCGCACTTAACCACCAAGCCACAGGGCCGGCCCGAAAGTGACTTTTTAAAATTGAAAATAAAAAGTAAACCAGGAAACTGTTTTCTTGCTCTAGTTTCTAATACTCAAGTGACAAGACCTGCCCCAGAACACCCATCTGTGGAACCTTCCAGAGCCAGCACTAGCATCTATGCTGCCTGACCCCCGGTTCCTCCAAGCTCCCCTACCTCTGGGCAGTGGTCATGATGGCGTCGATGACTTCAATGATCCTGTGCAGGGCCGAGTCTGTGCCGATGGTCATGTCTGTCCCACAGAAGTCGTTGTCGATGGAGCCCACCATGCCCACGACGTTGAGGTACGAGTGTTTCTGCACCTCCTCCTTGTCGATCTGGCCTGCGTGGGCACAAACCACACTCTCCACAGCGGAGGCAGCGCTCACCCCACGGGCACACCCCTGGCTGCAGAACAGGACGGCCGTGGGCAGGGAGACCCACAATTCTAAACAAGTTTTCTACATATTGTTTTGCTTTCTCAGAACTCTACGCAAACTGATTCTGAATTATAAGAAAAAAAGAAAGGGAAAATCTGCATGTTGCAATCGGTGGATAAAATCTCACTTCTCTCTGGTAACAGCCTCAAAGAACTCTGAACGAAGCAACGTCACAGTCACAGAATTAAGTACTTAAGAATATGGTATAAGTCATGCTGATTTCCTACAGGCCCGTGGGAGACAGTTAGTTGACAGGTATCCACTTAGATGGGGTTTGCAGGTGGGCTTAACTGGAATCAGAATGGTCAAGGGTGGGGCAGCTTAGGCCCGGACTCAGGCGGCTACTCGGCTTCTGTGTTCCACCCAGCCTGCGTTAGTCCAGAATACGGTGGGCAGAAGGTGGTGTTAGGCCCTCGCTTCTGTGTCTGACAGCCGCTCTGCGTTCCCCAGATAGAGTGTACAGAACTTGGGGCGATTCTTAGTTTATGCTCACACCTTTCATGAAGGTGCTATTAGTTCAGGCAATTTGCTTTCACTGGTCATATTTTATATTGAGTCGGAATTATGTAACAGCACCTTGACGAGGTGAAAACCACAGAATATATAGAGCTCTCGGAAATCCTTTCCTACGACAGCTTCAAAGGTGCTACAGGAAGACCTAACAGCAGACCATTACCATCTAAATCTTGCAACAACTAGAGTTTAAGGAGACCCTAGCAATAAGCTTGAAGGTTAACGGGCAGACGCTGGCGTCCTTGGGCCGGCATGAGCCGGGCCACCCTCGGGCCCCTGGCCCCTCATCTGTAAAATGGGGATGAAGATAAAACCCATCTCAGATGGCTGTCGTGAGCATCACACCAAACTATCTACGTAGAAAGCTGAGCAGTGCCTGGCATGTAGGACAGTCAAATAAATGTTATTCTTACTATAGTTATTGTTATTATTTGAGGCACAAATTTAAGTCCTGAGGTAGTGAACTATAAGGTCTATGACACCACAGATGCCTCGGCGACAGTTAAATGGACAGAACCTGTGAGTTCTAAGCTGTTTGAAAGGAAGGGACCATGAATGGGGATCAGGACGCCCACGAGAGGACACGCAGAAGCGGGAACGTACCGCTCTGGGCCAGCTCTTCCAGCAGCCCACTCCACTCTTTCCGGAAGATGTTGGCCCCAGTGAGACTCCCGTCCCCGCCGATCACACACAGGTTGGTGATGCCCAACTGGACCAAGTTACGAGCAGCTTTCAAGCGGCCTTCCCGGGTGCGGAAGGCTTTACAACGGGCGCTGCCAATAATGGTCCCTCCCTGAAGGAGAAATAAAACCATGGTTACTTGTCTCCCTCTGACTGGACGGAAAACAGGACAGGTCAGCACAGTGAATGCTGGTGTGTGCACAGGTCTTTCCAAAATTTAGGTTTTTAGTTTTAATCTTTTTAGTTGGTCAGCTGTGAAAGTTTGTTGTTTTCCCATTTTTAGCTCCATCCCAGAATTTAATGGATAAATACACCACATCATGCCCCGGAGAGCCAAGTAGGCTGTGGAAACAGAGAAGACAGCAGCCATCCTGAGTGGAGCCTGCAGTGCTGGGAGGGCTGGCCCGCACCGGCCGGCAGCCGCGGCCAGAGAAACAACGTGCCCAGCGGCCCCAGGTGACAGGACTCCCCTTCTGTCAGTCAGAGCTCACCATGTGTGCAGGCAATATAGAAATCTGTGAGCCAAAAGGCTTCACTTTTTATTTTTGCACTCCCTCTCCTCCCGCCCCATCCCTTCTAAAGGCTAAATCTTAAGAAAACTTAAGTTGGATCATCCAAACTTCCGGAAGAGATAAGTCAGGATTTTTTACACTTGGTTTTTCAGAAACAAAGGATTCCCAGTTGTATTTAGAAAAACGCAGGATTCCTTTACGTCCATCACGATTGCACTTATGAAACTTCAACTTGTACACGATCCTTCAAGTGCATGCTCACTTCATACAGCAAGATGCTCATCGTCAACAGTGACCCTGGGTCAGTATGGTGGGAACAGCATCGTGACTTGGCACAGCAATGGGGAGCCTGGGGTGGGAGGGGCCGTGCAGAGAGAAGCTGGTCGTCTGGACTTGGATTTGACCACGAGCCATTGGAAGGTCATGTGACTACTAACACCTGGAGGTTAAGTCCCAGCCCGTGAACACTGGGGAGATAACACAGACAGGCCTCAGGCAGGACACCAAGACTGACTAGGCTGCACAGAAGGAGGCACCACACACACACACACACACACACACACATACACACACACACACACTTCCACCACACCTGTGTTTCCCATCTTCCTGCACAATCACAATAGCAGAAAGGAAACTCTTTTCACACACAGGTTTACTGTCTGGAATTTAGATGACACTGTCCTGATTATCTGCAGATCTCTCCCTAGCTGGGTATTGATGGTCGTCAAGCTTCCCTTCTGCCTCTTTCCCAGAGCAGTGGAGTAAAGAAGGCCCGAGTGCAGACTGAGAGCCTGGGACCAGCGTTACAACATCCACCCCGCTATCATCCCTCTGCCTGGCTTTGTTGAGATATAACTGACACGTAACGTGGTGTAGATTTAAGGTGCACAACGTGAGGATTTGATACACGGATATCTTCTGAAATGATGACCACAACAGGGTTAGTTAATACATCTATCGAGTCACATAATTACCTTTCTTTTTTGTGGTGAGAACTTTTAACATTTACTTTCTTAGCAACTTTCCAGTACCGTAATATAGCACTGTTAACATTTTTTAAAGGTATATAACACGAGGACTTAATATATGTATACGTTGTGAAATGATCACCACAATCAAATTAATTAACACCTCCATAACCTCACGGAATGTCCTTCGTGTGTGTATGTGCTGAGAACACAAGATCTATTCTCTTAACATATTTCAAGGATACAATACAGGATTGTTAACTATACTCCCCAGGCTCTACATTACACCTCAGAACTTACTCATCTTATAATTGGAAGTTTGTACCCTGGGACCAACATCTCCCCGTTTCCCCCTCAGCCAGCCCCTGGGAACACCATTCTCCTCTCTGTTTCTATGAGTTCAACTTTTTTAGATTCCACATATAAGGGAGATCATCCTGTATTTATCTTTCTGCATCTGGCTTATCTCACTTGGCATAATGTCCTCAAGGTCCATCCATGTAGTCCCGTATTGCAGGATTTCCTTCTTTTTCGTGGCTGAATAATATTCCATTTATATATATAAATACAAGCCATATTTCTTCCATCCATTCATCCATTGCACTAGCACCTTCAGAGGGAATGTACTGATCTGGTTCTTTCTGTTAGAAAGTACTCAACGTGACTTATAGATTAATACATACATTTCAAAAGATCAACTCACTTGGGGCCAGCCCAGTGGCATAATGGTTAAGTTCGTGCACTCTGCTTCAGTGGCCTGGGGTTCTCGGGTTTGGATCCCAGGCACAGACTTACACACTACTTATCAAGCCATGCTGTGGCAGACATCCCACATATAAAGTAGAGGAAGGTGGGCACAGATGTTAGCCCAGGGCCAATCTTCCTCAACAAAAAGAGGAGGACTGGCAACAGATATTAGCTCAGGGCTAATCTTCCTCACACACACACAAAAAACCCCCACAAATAAAGAGCTTTTCACAAAGTCCATTCTTTCCACATAATCCATTTCTCAACTCATTTGGAGCCTTCACTAAGCTACAATGTTCTAGGAATTTATTAGATATAAAACATCCAGGCAGGTTCCTTTTAAATTCAAAATCAACAATTGTTTCGCCTGGAGTGGTAATTACCTCATCCTTGCGCACACCAAGGGAACCAGCCCTGCCCTGTTCAGGCCCGAACAGGGCTGTTCTGTTCCCACGAAATCCAGAGGGACGCCGCCGGTCGGGACCTCCCCCAGACTTTGTTACACTGACTCCAAGGGACTCACAAAAACCCGCCAGACGTGGAGATTTGCCACTGAACACACAACACCAACAAACCAAAGCTGTCTCCACATCAACCTGGTCTAAAAACCCCCAAATCCGCTACAAGCACCGTGATCACCACTAGCTAGCATGCATAACTTGTATCGCAAGGATAAGTCCTCTGTTTGCATGATGTACAGCCTTTTTAAATATGGAATTAAATGACACGTTAAGGATGTCTTCCTTCCACGGGAGTAAGTAAGAATGATGCCAGGCAGCACACTGATCCGTGGTGAGCATTACCGGTGCATAAGTGTAAAGGGTTTCACACTGGAAGAGCTCCTCAGAGAAAGAAATAGAATAGATACTCGGCACGCACCACTTGCAGAATGCTCGAGACGCTCTCCCAGTCGGCCTCCACGATGTTGCTGCCGCCGTCCACCATGCCTTGGTAGCCCTGGGGAAGAGAATGAGACTTCTCAAAGCTGGGCTACACTTTGCTGAGACATTAATTGATCCTAAATTAGGTAAAATGGAAATACGAGTGACAACGAGTCTAAGTTCCCAAGAGCCCAGTGGTTAGAAGACGCAGCACGCTTCAAGTGCTGTTAAAGCAGTAAATGGCAGAAAAGCCTCTTCAATTTAATCTCGAATGATGGGAATGTCTACCCAGACTCGTCCAGAGAACAATGAGGAAGAACAGTTTGCCTATTGCCTAATGGTTCCTGAGGGATTGAAAAGGGACACATTTACCCTAAAACTGTTTGGGATTTAACACAAACGCACATGAAAACAGTGGTGTCAATCATACCACACACGTGACAGCATTCCTGTCAGGACCTCGAGTTGCCCAGGCATCCATGCTCGCCTCGATAGCCACACAATATTACTACCCAATAATCCAGTCTGCCTTACCTTCCCGCTAGTGACATTACGACACCGCAGGGAGAGCGTTAGTGCATCAGGACGCCAACGCACACCTTCGCCTAGATGCCCAAAGCTAATCATCTGTCACCTCTGAATGCACCCACTTCTTCCCACAGACTGCACGAGATCAAGAATTACAGGAATGTTCATTTATCTACGGGACTCACTTTCCAGGGCATTTAACCTTAAAAAGTAATAGGCTTCAACCACGTAGACGTGTTTATCATAATACATTATTGTGGATTCATACCCCCTACTTAGTGAAGGTCAAAAGGAAAGAAAGAAGGAATAAACATTTTAAAAAATGAAATGGCCCATTGAGGATAGAGCCTACGCAAAAATTAATCAATAGTGCAGGCACCTCTATGGGTGATCAACTCATATACTTATATTTATAAATGTAAAATTTCCATCAAAAATACACATATACAATGTATTATATATTATATGTATAACATATACAAAATAACATATTTATATAATAATAAAATACCACATATTATATGTAATATATAACACTAAATCATACACATATATTATATACAGTCCTGTGCCACTTAATGACGGTTTGGTCAGCGACAGGCTGCATATACAATGGTAGTCCTATAAGATTAGTACCATATAGCCTAGGTGTGTAGTAGGCTATACCATCCAGGTTTGTGTAAGTACACTCCGTGATGTTCGTACAATGGAGAAATTGCGTATCGACACATTTCTCGGAATGTATCCCTGTCAATAAGGGATGCAGGACTAGATACTTTTATATATTGTATAAAACAAACCTGCTCTCAACTTTGTTCTATTTCATTCGATACTCTCGTTCCCTTTCTTATTTGTTATGTATATAACACTAGACTATACACACATGCAGATATATATGTACTTATATATTTATACATTATATATAATATAGATGTTATATAATATGTATTACATATCTTATGCAATTAAAATATTTATATATTATACTATAACATAACGTTATAATATACTATAATATATAATTTTATAATTATAATCATATTATAGAGCATTACATTATATATAATGTATAATATACGTGTAATATTATATAAATACATTATATAAACGTGCATGTGTATAGTGTAGTGTTACGTATGTGACAGACAGGAGAGGGGAAGAGCATGGAATGAATCAGATCAAGAAGTCGAGAGCAAGTTTGCATTGGTGCTGGCAGGTGTCTGCACACCACACATGTACTGAGGACCCAACTCCGGGCGCTGGCTCCCGAGGCGGCCCTCACCCCTCAGCCCAGGCTGGCGTAAGGACTGCCCACAACCCCCCAGTGTCTTCACGGGGAAGCAATGGAACTTCTTCCAAACATGGCTCGGTCCAACTTGAAGGATCACTTTTCTCTTTTTGTTCCCATCTCCCTTCTTTCTGAAAACCTTAGAGGGTGCACAGTTTTAGAAGATTCTATTTAAAGTATCGAGCCTGGCATGGCTGTCACTGTGGAGGGCGAGGGTGATAAGCAGGAGTATGATTGGATCCAGGCTCCCCTCTCGAAAGGGAGCTCTTATCTGAGGCGCTATTTACAGTGTGTCCTGGGATGTTAGCTCCTAGACGACAGGGGCTGTATCAGGCAGTTTCCCGGCTGCTCCAGGACCAAACGCAAAACCAAGGCCTCTTCTCCTTCTAAGTGACCCCAGGGATCTATTTCAACAGAATATTAAAAATAGATAGGGAGGTTATATATAGAAAACACTAAAGAATCCACCAGAAAATCTTTTAGAAATAATTGAATACGGTAAAGTTGCAGGAAACAAAATCAACATACAAAAATCGGTTGTGTTTCTATTCACTAGGGACGAAGCAGCAGAAAGAGAAATTAAGAATACAATCCCATTTACAACTGCAACAAAAAGAATAAAATA